AAGATCCATCAGTTTCCCGAGACTAAAGTGCGTTTAGATATTCAACCCATGGTCGGCTTGGTTTGTCATTACATGCATCATCTCCAATGAAGAAAAAAGAACAGGAAATTATTTAAGTGGTGATCAAGTGGTAAAAATTTAGGATTAAAAGATTTGTTCTCTCTGTGGTCTCAGGTTTGAGTCCTTGATTGCTCATATAATGGTCATTGGAGACTTATATAATCGTTAACTTCAGGGCCCGTGAGATTAGTCATGGTACATGCAAGCTGACCCAGACACCCACATTAATCAATTATTTAAGTGGTGATCAAGTGGTAAAAATTTAGGATTAAAAGATTTGTTCTCTCTGTGGTCTCAGGTTTGAGTCCTTGATTGCTCATATAATGGTCATTGGAGACTTATATAATCGTTAACTTCAGGGCCCGTGAGATTAGTCATGGTACATGCAAGCTGACCCAGACACCCACATTAATCTAAAAAAACAGGAATTGAGTCTATGACACAGAGTTCCTCTTCCTCGTGTCTTGTCTCGATCACTTTATTTTCTATTCCGTTGTCTGATTTCTTGCCACAATCAACGGTAATCACTGTAATGTAATGTTAGTGAGTGAGGGAGTGGGGTTTATTATCAAATTGCCCAAAAGATCAGTAACAGTGATTGCACTATATATCCACCCGTCATCCATTCTCTTGCCAGAGGTTTTTATTTTTATCTGTAACGATCGAAGCGAGGCCGGCTAGATCTACTTCAAATCTAGGAGTACTTGCCAGGTGGGTCAATGTTCGCTGCCACCAACCTGAGGGCCTTATTTCCTTTTTAATGGAGGCCGGGCATGGTGGCCAAATATTCCATCCAGATTGGGATTTCTTTGTTAATTTCATTAATTAGACTATAACATGATCTTCCAAGCTGTCAGCACAGTGAGAAATTTGAGTTAGATCACCAGTTGTAAGATTCGTGACAATGAATTTCTCAATTCAATTGGTTACCTTAAACTAAATATACTTAAGGACTAAATCAATGTTAAGTGACAACAACAAATCCGAGAGCTTCAATATTTTAAGTCATTCTCAGTCTACTTGATGCTGCAAGTAAGGATATCTTAAAATTCAAATTATAAATTATTAGACAATATTTCCTCCTTGAAGCATTCTTCTTGTAGGGTAGCTATTTTTCCTTTCTTTTTACATTCAGCGAGCCGAGAGTGCTTTAGCGATAGAGAGGTTTTGAGATTGATCGTCTAGCCTCTCATTTAATGGCTTCAGTCGCTTGAACTTGGAGTTGTTATTTCTTATTTAATAATGCCTACCAGTTATTAAGAGCTACTCTTGTGTCAACTCTAGTAACCTCCTTTCTCAACTTTTCTAGTTTGACCTCGTCTTTCACCATGGTTGAGGAAAGATATGATGTTTCCAACTTATCTTGTGAGGCAGCTCGCTCTCATTGGGTCATTCCAAGAAGCATGGAGTCCCTTGCACCTCATGAATGAAATCGGTGTTGGTTCTTCTATCATCCCTCATCGATCTTACAGGTTTTGATTATCAAGTTAGATGTTTTCACTAGCTAGGAACGACTACATGAAAGTCATTCAAAGACTTGTCTACGTACGAGTGAGGTTATAGGTTTGGCCAGTAGCATAACCATATCATCCATTTGGTCATCCATGATAGCATCTAAAAGCATTAGTAATTAAATTAAGAACGTAAGAATAAGGCTTTAGAAAACTAAAGGAATAATTATACATTTTAGTATTAACATACGGACTCCTTGAAAAATTAGGCTTGTCATGTTTAGGCTAAGCTCGTAGTTCTTCTAGCTCGCTCTTTATTATTTGATTAAAAGAGTGTGGCTTGAACAAAGAAATTTCTTGGGGAATATGATTATAGAATTTGAATTGGGAGTTGGTTTATTGGGTATAAGAGTGTTTGTTTATTAATTTGACCTGATTTATTGATTTTCTAATTGATCAAACCCCCTTCTTGAAGAAAAACATGGGTTTTTCTTTTCTGAGGTTGGGTGATTGACCTAATATAGGGTTACTGGATGTGGAAAGAGCTTCATTAATAAAGGTATTTAAATAATCATTTAGGTGGTGGCCAAGTGGTAAAGACTTGGAACTAAGGGGTTTGCTTCCTCTGTGGTCTCAGGTTCGAGTCCTTGGTTTGCTCATATGATGGCCACTGGAGGCTTACATGGTCGTTAATTTCAGGGCCCGTTGGATTAGTCATGGTGCGCACAAGCTAGCCTAGACACCCACGTTAATCTAAAATAAATAATCATTTAGGTGGTGGCCAAGTGGTATGCTCGATCGTTCTATGTTAGTAGTTCAATTGTGGCCTTTTTGGTTGTTTGGGTAGGGACATTTTATTTCTTCTTCTTGTGTACCATTTAAAGATGACTGGGAGTAATCTTATACCTAATACTTACTTATATATTACCCACTTTGGTATAGTTTCTTGAGGGATGACCTTGGCAATTTATTTTCCTTTTTTTGCTTATTGTATTCTTACATCAATATCATAGAAAACTTCATCTTGGCTGCTCTCATTTTTGTTACCTGGAGGATATGAAGGACAAGTAATGGAATCAAGAATTATAATTCAATTAAAGGTAGAAAGACTAGTCTTTTTAGTACCTTGTTATTTTTTTCTTCTTATTTCACTTCTTGAATTCTTTTTTGTTCTTTTTTTATTGTTATCATGATAAAATTAAATTAAAAAATTAAACTGGATCAAATATATTATTTTTTAAAACACAGAAAAATTAGTTAAATCATCTTTAAGTTGTTGTTGACTTGGCTTAATTTTTTAGGAAGCATCAATATATAATGGATTTTTTATATAGTTATTGTTTGAGACCAATATTATAGATTTCTAAAATCCTTACATGTTGGATGATAAATATTGTATAGGCATTGCTAAACTTGACTAAAACCATGATGTAGACCCAATCCAAAAATATAAAAATTAACAATAACAACTTTAACCCTTTTTAAGATATGATGTTAGAGACTAGAAAATGATTTATCTTCTTTCTTAATTAATCATTTTGTGCCTGACGTTTCAACTAGAATCTCTTGTCTACATGGGGCGTAGAGAGTAGACCAGAGACGCCTCCCTTTGCTCTTATTTTACCAGAACGCCCTTGCTTTTCTATTTAACAACGAGAATGCCATCTCGTTAGCTTTTTACACACCGGAGACGTTTTTTTCCTGGTGTATATGCATCAACGCTCACCCTCTCACGTGTGAGACTCTTTCCGTTTGGGTTTATGCACGTGGATGTGGTGTATCAAATAGTCATTTTGTACCTGGAAGGAAAATTCCTTTTCTTTTCTTTTTTAATTGTAACTCGATGAAAAAATTAACAGGTAAATCCAGTTCATCATTTAATATTACGAGCAAGAACAATAAGATTCTCACACATCCCACGTCATTTTATAATTAAGGTATTGCTAATTATTTTATCTTATAATCATGATCAGGTTCCTAAATATATAAAAAAAAAGATTAATTTTTAACGTTATTAATTAAAATTGATGATGTGAACAAATCTAATTATTTGTAAAAAAAACTCGTTAGTTGATCCACTAGTTTTACTAAATTCGCTCAATGCTTTGTCACTAACAACTAACATGTAGTCTTAAATATAAATGTGAATTGATATAAATAGAATGGTTTACTTGATTCAATCAATAATATATAATTACAAATTAGGATTTTATCTAAATCAATTAATGTGTATCCTTAACGCAAATGTCAAAACAACTCTCTTTTTTTTAATAGATGAAGTAATATTTCCTTCTTTCTCTTGTTGTTTTCCCTTGTCCATTTATAATAGAGAATATTAACATCAGCAGTAACATTATACTGGTATTGCTGTTAAAATATTATTTATTTTTATTTAAAATTGATTTTTTAACATATTTAAATTTTTTTTAATAAGTTAAATTCAAAAATAATATTTTAAAAAATAATCACTTCTCCCAACCATGATATCAAAGACAATCCAAAAATTCTGATTTGCAGTGGCTTTAGAATGATAACACGACACTAAATGGAGATACCGAGATAGCATACATTTTGTCCGTGACACGCCAACTTTCTTTCTATTTATTTATTTTTCTCCTTCCATGGACCACGTGAAATATCACTTGGTGTACAGGGGAATCCTCGCAAGAACCCCACTTTTTTCTTTTTCTTTTTCTTTTTCAAAAAAGGGAGGTGATTATTGTGTTGATTTGCAAATGAAAAAAAGAAAAAAGAAAAAAGAAAAAAAGGAAAAGAGTCATGAGCAATACAAATGATTGATAGAAGGATCAATATATTAGCTTAGTTAATTAGCTAACATACTAAGCACCATTTATTTTGTATTTTAAAAATATTTTTTTAAATAAATTTTATTTTATTTTAATTTTAAATTATTTTTTAATAACTTTGTATGTAATATTAAAAATAATTTTTTTAAAAAAAATAATAATAATAATTTTAATATTTTTTTTAAATAAAAAATATTTTAAAAAATAACTAATATTGTTGAAACCTCTAATTCTTAAGTTTGAAACCTTTTTGCCATGTTAGAAATAAACCTGCCTTTTATCATAATCTTTTTTCATCATTGCTTTTATCAAATTTGTGAATGCCAACGAGGTGATAATAATAATTCAAATCAAGAGATAATTAACAAGAAGATAATAAGTCATGTGCTCTCTTAAATTGTTAAATTTTAATCACAACATAAAAATATTTTAAATTCAAATTAAATTTCGAAAAAACAGCGAGTCCAAATTCAATTTACATGCATTTATGTCACCTAGACATCGTATCCGTCGATTTCATTTTCCTTATATAATAATAATTATTTCCACTAAAAAGAAGGTTTTCATTTCCCAGGAGCCAGCCAAGCCAACAATTTTGGGCAGCTTGGGGAAATAAAAATCGCTAAGCGAAGCCTCCGTAAGAAGAAGAAACGGTCTTGCACAAGACAAAAGGGCATAAAACCATCCGCTCCCTCGTATATAACTGCGCAACTGTCTCTTTATCTTACAAAAAACAAAGCCTCTCCTTCTCTGACTTCTTCCTCTCTTCCTCCGTTCTCCCCTCGCACTCCTAAAAACGCAAACACAAACACAAACACTGCTTATCCACCATTCTTCAAGAAAAAGAAATAGAAAAAAGCACCATCAATCACTTGTGTTGTTTCCTTCTAAAATCTTTATCCAAAAAGAAAAAAAAAAGTGAAGATGCCTGCTACAGAGCACCAGCCATCATTTCTTGGCAGAATCAGCATTAGAAGAAATCAGGTAACTGCTATGGATGGTAACCATGAGCAAGAGCTAGAAGACTTGGAGCTTTTTCAAAGACACATCGGTGATCGTTTTGCTGAATTACTATCACCTCCTGATAATCAAGATTCTCCTTTCTCTGGCGAGTCATTTCTCTCAATTTCTTGGCTAAGAAAACTAGTCGATGTTTTACTGTGCTGTGAGGCAGAATTCAAAGCTGTTTTAATTATGGGGCGTGACCCTTCTCAAATATCTAAACCACCTTTGGATCGTTCACTAAGTGATTATATGGAGCGTGCTGTTAAAGTTCTTGACATTTGTAATGCGGTTTCTGGTGGGGTTGATTCTATTCGCCAATGCCAAAAATTGGCTGAGATTATTGTTTCTGCTTTAGAGCAGAAACCAATTGGTGATGGTCAAGTTAAGCGAGCTAAAAAGGCTTTGAGTGCTTTGATGTCTGCTTTGGCAATTGATGATAAAGAAAGTAATCATCCAAGGTATGCAGAGAGAACTTGGTCTTTTGGAAGGAGAGGAAATAACAGTGGGGGTAATCATAAGGACCGAGCTAATCATGGCTCCTTTCGATCTTTATCAATGGTTGTGGCTAAAAACTGGTCTGCCGCAAAACAGATTCAGGCCATGTGTTCTAATTTGGCGGTACCGAGAGGCGGAGAATCAACAGGGTTGGTTCAGCCAGTTTATATAATGAGTAATGTTATGGTTTTTGTGATGTGGGCTCTTGTGGCTGCGATACCATGTCAAGAAAGGAGTGGGTTGTTGACTCATTTTCAGATTCCAAAGCAATTTGGGTGGGCACATAGCATAATTGGGATGCAGGAGAAGATTGGAGAGGAATGGAAAAAGAAAGAGAAGAAAGGGTCAGCTGGATTGCTAGAGGAGATGCAAAGGATGGAGAAGTTGGGGCAGAGTTTGATTGAATTTGCTGATGGATTCCAATTTCCTGCGGAGGATGAGAAGTTGGAGGAAGCGGCTGCACAGGTGGCGGAGCTGGCAGAGATTTGCCGGAGAATGGAAGAAGGATTGTTGCCTTTACAGCAGCAGATCAGAGAGGTGTTTCATAGGATTGTAAGGAGCAGGACAGAGGTACTTGATTTGTTGGATCATGGGAAAGTTTCTCAACCTATAATATAATGCAAGTCCGGACTTTTGTCCAAGATGGGGACTTGAAAGTTTGAAAATATTTTAGGTACTTTCGCGATTGCAGGTTCATGTGGGTAGATGAACATGGGCATATGTTGAACGTCAATGTGATTCTTCATACAGGTTTTTTTTTTTTTTCTTTTTCCCCCCTCGTTACTGGAGATTATATGGCTCCAACACACTCTTTTTCCCCCCTCATTACTGGAGATTATATGGCTCCAACACACCAAGTTTAGAGTTCTAGCATGCATTTCTATGTGTGAAACGTGCTCTTCTACTTCTCTTTCTTGGCTTAATTTGTTCTCTTGTTGAGTGCAAGATGTTTTGTTTAAAAGATATGTATAGTACTAATTAAGGTTTACTTTTGTATTTATTGGAGTTGTGATGGCAGTTTCTGATTTGAAATGGATGTATTAGTCCTTTGGTTTTATGATCGGGGCAGGCGAATGAGGGACTGGAAAATTGTTTTTTACTTATTCTACCCTAGAAGGTCTTGATTCTGTTGCAGAACAAATGTATAGGTGGTTGATTCTTGCAGCCAAAGACCAGATCAACACTTGTTTTGCTGGTTTTGTGGAGTTAAATTGCTGCAATTTCCTTTTTGTGGAGCAAATGCCCTCAATTAAGGCATTAGTATGGCTCTATATTGCTGTAAATTCCATAATTAAGGTTTTGTAGTTTGACCTCCTCTGTTGTATGCTCTCTAATTCATGGCGTGCTTTGCTTTTCAACTTGGAACACAAGTCCGAGAAGAAAAGAATCATTTCTGGATTATCTCAATTTCTCTGTTTAATTTCTCTGGCCTTTATTTCCATAATTTTTGTAAGAAAAAAGGGGAAGGTGAATACTTTCTTTGTGGAAATTCACAGAAGAGACAAATGTACATGGAATTTATGTCTTCCACCCTCTCCTGCTCGCTTGGAATCTACGTTTTTTTATATATAAAACTCCTGCCAACTTGTTGAGAGTATTCCATCTGTGTATGATGGGAGAGAATGGACAACAAGACAGCTACAAACCACAAGCCTACAACTAAAATTTAGTCCTCTCTGTGGATCGCCCAGCTAGCCGCCATCTGAATAGAGTCACAAACAGCTTAGCCATTGCAAGATGGCACCACCTGTTTGCCAATTGTCTAGTTCGATAGGATGATTAAAATTCATCGTAATCCATTCATTGTTTTTAGATTGTTTTTAGATTAACGTGGGTGTCCGGGCCAGCTTGCGCGCACCACGACTAATCCCACAGGTCCTGAAGTTAACGACCATGTAAGCCTCCAGTGGCCATCATATGAGCAACCAAGGACTCGAACCTGAGACCACAGAGGGAGCAAACCCCTTAATCCCAAGTCCTTACCATGTAATCCATTCATTGTTGTTATTATTAGTCATATTATTTTCCCACAAGGTGGTCCATGTCTCTCATCATTTTCAGCCATGTTTGAAACATTTTCAAAGGAGCCATGCACCTGCAAACTGGGAACATATCCTGCCACTTGCGAAAAGTCTCGTGTGTGCGTTCTGATTTTTGTAAATGAAAACCTGGATTTTACTGAATTGATTCTGCGTCGCTTAAAACACTGTGCTCCTCATCAAGGCTACTGTAGAGGAGGAAAGTCATAAGAGCATTAAAAGCATCCAATTTCCAACTATTATCGTGAGAGTAATATCTCTGCCCTGGTGCGTTTAGAAAGAAGAAAAGAAGAAGAACCATTAATCTGTCCCTGTCCGAACTTTGCATTTTGTTGATGATTCATGTTGCTTCTTTATTTATCTACTCCTATTTATATTTATATTTATATTTATATATATGTTTTAGGTTGTAATAAACATCCTCCAAATAATATTCATTGCATTCACACTAGGGATTAAATATTTAAGATACAGACTCCATGCCATGTACATGTAATGCCACGGTCTTACGGTATGTTATTATGGGTTTATAAAAAAATAAAAAATATATATATGAAGAAAAACTTTTACAATTCAAGAAAAAAACTACGAGGTTCAGTTTAATATTAAAAAATAAAATCCATAAAAATAATTTTAGAAAAAACTTATAACAAAAAAACAAATCATGCGATGAAACACTGTAGTAATCTATAGTGTTAAATAAGAAAATCTATAATTATAATTCTCAATTAGCTCAATGTTAACAATAATAAAATCGATAAAAAAAATTAAAAAAAAATTATAACAAAAAAAATCATGTAGGGGAATATTGCAACAATTTATAGTGTTTTTTTTAAAAAAAAACTATGAAACTAATCGTGAGAGTAATATCTCTGCCCTGGTGCGTTTAGAAAGAAGAAAAGAAGAAGAACCATTAATCTGTCCCTGTCCGAACTTTGCATTTTGTTGATGATTCATGTTGCTTCTTTATTTATCTACTCCTATTTATATTTATATTTATATATATGTTTTAGGTTGTAATAAACATCCTCCAAATAATATTCATTGCATTCACACTAGGGATTAAATATTTAAGATACAGACTCCATGCCATGTACATGTAATGCCACGGTCTTACGGTATGTTATTATGGGTTTATAAAAAAATAAAAAATATATATATGAAGAAAAACTTTTACAATTCAAGAAAAAAACTACGAGGTTCAGTTTAATATTAAAAAATAAAATCCATAAAAATAATTTTAGAAAAAACTTATAACAAAAAAACAAATCATGCGATGAAACACTGTAGTAATCTATAGTGTTAAATAAGAAAATCTATAATTATAATTCTCAATTAGCTCAATGTTAACAATAATAAAATCGATAAAAAAAATTAAAAAAAAATTATAACAAAAAAAATCATGTAGGGGAATATTGCAACAATTTATAGTGTTTTTTTTTAAAAAAAACTATGAAACTAAATTCTTAACTAACTCAATATAAAAAAATAAAATCGATAGACAATTCTAGAAAAAAATAACAAAAATCATAAAAAAAAGAGAAAAAACTATGAAGGGAAATACAGTAGCAATCCACAGTGTTTTTTTTTAAATACAAAACTAAATTCTCAGAAGAAAAGAAGAAGAACCATTAATCTGTCCCTGTCCGAACTTTGCATTTTGTTGATGATTCATGTTGCTTCTTTATTTATCTACTCCTATTTATATTTATATTTATATAAAAAAAATTTAAAAAAAAAAAACATGTGGGGAAAGTTAAAGATAAATTCTCAACCAACTCAATATTAAAAAAAATTAACAAAGATAATTTTTGAAAAAAATATGTGAGGAAATATTATAGCATAACAAAAATTATGTGGTAAAATATTATAGTAATTCATAGTGTTTGAAAAAAAACAATGAAGCAAAATTTTTAACTAGTTTAATATAAAAAAAAATCGACAAAGATTATTTTGAAAAAAAAAAATATGTAGGGAAATATTATAGCAATTCATAATATTTAAAAAAAACTAAAAAATTAAATTTTTAGGTTGTAATAAACATCCTCCAAATAATATTCATTGCATTCACACTAGGGATTAAATATTTAAGATACAGACTCCATGCCATGTACATGTAATGCCACGGTCTTACGGTATGTTATTATGGGTTTATAAAAAAATAAAAAATATATATATGAAGAAAAACTTTTACAATTCAAGAAAAAAACTACGAGGTTCAGTTTAATATTAAAAAATAAAATCCATAAAAATAATTTTAGAAAAAACTTATAACAAAAAAACAAATCATGCGATGAAACACTGTAGTAATCTATAGTGTTAAATAAGAAAATCTATAATTATAATTCTCAATTAGCTCAATGTTAACAATAATAAAATCGATAAAAAAAATTAAAAAAAAATTATAACAAAAAAAATCATACAAAAAAAAAGAAAAGACAATCTTAGGAAAAAAAGAAAAAACAAACATGTAAAACCAAAAAAAAAAAACAAAAAATATGTGGAGAAAAACAAAAAAAAATACGAGGAAAGCAATAATACTTTCTCATGCGTTGTGGAGTATTGCTAATTTTGATGCCGGCGCAATGTTGGGTTGTTTTAAATAAAATTTAATTTTAATTATTATAATAAACAGTGATAAAATAATTAGAAATATTATACAGTAAAAAATATGGTATTTATAAAGTTAGTGGTGATTACAACCAGATAAAAACAAGGTAAAAAATTACTCGGAAAAAAAATAGAATAAACCTCTAAGATATCAACATGTTTAAAAAATTAAGAATCTATAAAATACAATCCTTGTACACCTTTCAAGACAAAAATAAGCACACATAATAGGGCTCCCAGCAGAAGTAGGTGCCCGGAGCATTTTCTGACAACGAAGGTGCTGAAATGGGGCTGTGTTATGCATGTTCTTATCTGCAAAAACCAACAAAAAAGCCACCTATTTTGCCGCACCTCTAAACAAAGCATCCTAGTCGGAGACCTAGTCGATCTGTGGTGCATTTTCTCGGCATGAAAAGATGAATAGAAACATAAAGATATGTTGGCAAAGCCAGCTAGCAAGGCTGTCAAATGTAGATGAGAGATGGGAAAACGAAAACAAAACAGATATTAAAAAAAAAAAAAAGGAACAAAAGAGATGGGTGCAATGAATCAAGTTAATAGAGGTCAATTGAAGGGGAAAAAAAAGAGAGAATAAAATCTGAGAACAGTGCAGCCGTGCAATGGCGTCTGACCATTGCTTGAAAAGAGAACCATGGCTAAAGTGGTTGTCTTAAGCTAGGAAAGAAACCATGTCTAGAACAATAGTTTTCCAACTCAATTGAAACAAACAATGGCCAGGCTAAGAGCAAAAAAACGTCAACACAGTATATCATAATTGTTGTAAAGAGAAAATTCATAATGTAATCATCACTGCTTACGTATATATACAAAGGTCTTGCTTCTTTACAAATTCTAAAAAAAAACCAATCCAGGCAGCTCAAAGGGAGATAACAGATTTTTTTATATAAAAAAGAAAACCGTAGTGTATGAGTATAATGTCATTATAATGGAAAATTCATCAAAAAGCGTTAATTAAACTGTTGTTGCTGGAACCAAAAGAGGGCAGTGAAAATGTCGAGCAGCAAAACCCTTCCCAAAGCTCGACAGAGCAGGCAACTGAAACCATGGGAACAGAGCATATGTTGCATCACAGTTTGGTAAAACAGAGCTATATGTCTGAAGAATACAGAGCATGTGAACAGAGCTTGAAGAAT